GGAACTGCATTTTTGTACGTGTTTTTAACTTTTATTAAATAAAATGTATGTAATGTGACTGGTTTTAAGTCATAAAAAAATCATGGGTTTTCAGGTTTCACAGGCGTCCATTCCGGAACTATGTAAATCCTTCAGAATTAGGTTGTGTGTCTAGGCCAGTGGAAGACTTGGAGCTTGCTAATTCACTTACCTGTAAATGCAGGATTTTTTGGATCCTGTTGTAAATTGACCAGTGCTCAGTCGTTGATGATTTTACACCACTCCTGTTTTTGGTAAGAGGTGCACACCCCCACCAGGCCTTGAGGCTTCTCTCTGCTCTCTGGAAACAAGAGTTCCCAGCTCCACACCACTTCCAGCCCAGCCTCCAGCAGCTGTCAGCAGAAGGGATGTGCTGGGTGCTGCTCCATTAGTGTCACAAGCTGTGCTTGGAGTGAATGCTGGAATAAGGCAGAGATGAGAATTTAACTCTAAAGGTGGCTGTGCTAGCCCCAGTTCTTCTGCTCAGGTGGGCACGTGCCTCTGGCAGGCTGGGTATTACCTCCCAGTCTCAGCTGGGAAGGAGGTGTCCAGTGGTGGTGACAGCAGCAGCAACTACCTACATTTTTATGCTGCTTCCATCTGACCAGTTCCTGAACTGCAGAAATATTTATTTCCAGCAGAAAGGGAGAAGGTGTAATGATTGCAGCTTTTTGTCAGCCTTTCACTGCAAGGTGGCTCAGTCAGTACAGGCAGAGCCCTTAGGGAGTGACCTGGGAGTGATGACTCAAGGCTTTGTCCACAGAAGAGCACATTGTTCTTGCAAGTGTGAGGAAGGTGAAAAGAGATCTCACGGATGGTTCTGCTTCCCCCTCAAGAGAACAACTGGAAAGGAAAGCTTAGGTACAGGTTTAATGCTCTGGCAGAACAGCACAAACTTCAGCCCCTGAGCTCTGCAGTTTGCCACAATGCTTTTGTCTCCCAGGGGAAGATGTCTTACCTATCTCTACTACTTTTCAAGGAAGATTTTTCTGAGCATCGAGTTACATCTCTAAGAATACTTGTTTCAGTGGGTTTTTTTTGCTGATTTTTATTTTGTTTTCCTGGCTTTGTTTATGTGAAACATGACAATGGATTTCAGTCTGTGCATACCTTTCTGCTTTTCTTTAGACCCAAGATATGGTCTGAGCTGTTCCATGCAGCCAGGAGGTGCACTCAGTCCACATCCTCATGGGGATGGAGTCTGGAACAGCTTCATCTAGTGATAGAAAACAGCCTGCATACAAAAGAAGCCTTCTCAACTACCCCTTTGCTGACACAAGCATTGTTAAGGGCAAGTCTTTCTGTCTTAAAGCCATTCTAAATCCATGAAAAGGAATCATTTTCTGAAGGACAATGGATTTGTGCTCAAACATGTCTATTGGCTTAATGCTTCATCTTGCAGTCTGAGTGGCATTGCTTGTTAGACACCCCATCCTGTGTGGTTGTACAGCCAAACCCTGGGCTGAGCAGCAGCTTGAGCTGTCTTGCAAACCAGTGAGCACTGATCCTCTTAAAGTCTGGGCACTGGAAGAGTGAATCCATTCTGATGCTGCAGAGGTGGCAGAGGTGGCCCGTGTTGCAGGGTGCTTGGTGTGCTCCTCCAGCTGAGGCCACGGCTCTGGCTCATTTTCCCTTTCCAGCTGTGAAAGCTGTACTGAACATCCTTCATCTTTCATCTCGACCCGAGTCCTGCCCCAGAGTTGCCTCTGGATTGAGATCATTGGCAAGGATAAATCTTCTGACTGGTTTTGAAGTTTAACCTGTGAGCCCACCTGCCTGTTTACCTTCATTCACGTCTGGCAAGGCAGCTTGAGGCAGGCAGGCTCTGGCTGTGAGAAGGCAAATTGCTTCCATGTCTGCAGCAAGAGTAAATCATGACTCAAGACCCAGCAACCTCCAGGCTGAAGAAATGGTGAGACAGTCCAGGAGAAGCTGCAAAGCCTCAGCCACATCTCACAGTCCAGGCTGTCCTGAGATCCTCTGTCAAAGGCTGTCAAATGCAGCCTTCTTCCTTTTCTGCTTCAGTCCTCAGGTGTAAAAGGAAATTGATGACTTTATGTGCTGATGTGTGCAGAAGGCAATGGGCATATCTTAAAACATGCAGAAAACTTGAGGAAGCTGGAGCATACCCTTTGCTGGGAGAGTTTGTGCCAGATAGGAAGAATACCTTAGGTTTAATTGTTTCTCTTATGGCATCTCTTGAGTTCAGAGTGACTTCTCTTCTGTTGGTTATTACTGCCCAGATAAATCCACTTCACCCTGTGCAAATAATTGCCATGTCCTGTGCCCAGAGGTGAGGGGGAAGCCTGCTGTGGGTATGGTCTGTGCCAGGCAGTTGGTAAATGTGGTGGGCAGCTCCATGAGGTTCCTGTGGCACAGCTCCAGGCCTGTGGGCCCCTGTGCCCCCCTTGCTGGGGCAGAAGCTCTGTTTCAGCAAGGCTCTCTTGCTCCTTTTGGACTAGTGCAAAATGCAGCATGTAGCATTTGTCTTTGTCAGATGAATAATGTAGTGATTTGGTTAAAAATAATAGCCTTTTGCTGGTTTATTAATGGAGATTAATAGTGTCAGCTCAAAAGCCATTGTTAGCTATCCTGTTTTATGCTGCGGGTATTGAGCAGGGGGGTAGTTTCCAAAATGATGAATAAGAGACTCTCCAAAACCCTGCTTAATTCCAGCAAACTGTTTTAGGTGCAGGAAGTCAAATATTTTTTTAGCAGCAAGCTGAATATTTTTCTGTCCTTCAAGCAGTTGTGATTTGATGGTGGTTTTAGAGAAATACCATGAAAAGAAAATTAACTTCCCAATAATTCAGCTGGTTGGATATCAGCATTCACGCCCTGAGATGTGGCAAACTGATCTCTATAGTGCAATTGTCCTTTAAAAAAAAAAAAAAAAGCATTAATTCAATAAGTTTCTCTCGAAATCTGTCATGGGCACAGCTACTGCTTTCATACTATTACTTACTTACAAATGATCTAGTGTCCTGTTTTCTGTGAGCAAGGGATGGACCAAAAGCAGAGTTACACTGACACCAGGTAATTAAACTGTAGTTGTGGTTTCCCAGCCCCACTGCCCCTGTCCCTTTGTGGTGTGAAGCTGGGTGCAGGTTTGACACAGAGGGAGGAGCACAGTCCCCATCAATTCTTGGGCAGACTGGGAACTGGTTGGGTACCACCATCCCGTTCTGCATGGTTTGAGAATGAGACAGATGGCTGTGAGCTGTCAGTGCTGGCTGGCTCTGTGGTCTGAGCTCAGTGCTGAGCACACATCATTTTATGGCACAGAGAAAGCCTGCAACAAGACCATACCACAGTATGAGGTCCCTCCTTGCATCCCCAAACTTCTTCCTTGCACCTTTTCCCTGGTGCAGTGATGTCCCAGCTGCATCACTCCTTTCTGCACCTTCCTGTGTTTCTGCAGCTCCTCCTTTTCTCTTGGTGATGCTGGAAAGGTTATCTGTGAAACCCAGTGCACCTTTGTTCCAGGTACAGAAATGTGCTTGTCTCTTGGTTATTTTAGAAGCTCATTTTATAAAACAGCTCAGTGCTTTGCTGTGTTCAGTAGAGGGATTTTTTTCTGGAGCCTAACAGTATGTTCTGCTTAGGTGTTCTTTTTAATTAGTCAATTCCTGTAATTGTGAATACTCAGGCTTTCCTTCAGGAGAGTTTGAAATTGGTTGTAGAGCTGTTACTGGGCCAGTCACCAAATGCAGCCTGAGAGAGAGCAGCTCTGTAAGGGCAGGCAGGGCACATGCAGGGTGACCTGGGGGAGGCAGAGCTCTGGTCCCTGCCTGCTCCTGCCACTGCGTGGTCTGACAGCAGTGTGGCTTGCCTGCTTGCTGTGTCACTGGAGGCCATCCAAAAACGCAGCAATCCACTGGCCCTGTGCTCACAGAGGAGGAGCTGTCACCAAGCGCAGTGAAATACCTCCCCACATGTGCCAGAGACTCTGGGGACCTTGACAGAAGGAAGGTCTTAGTTGAAAGGATGAAATCCAAGTTCAAAGAAAATCTAAACCACTATAGTGATTACAAAAGCATATAGAGTACTGTGGTCCCCTGTGGTGCTAGGGTCACTATTTTTTCTGCTCTCCTCTGCTCCTTCCAGTAGGTCTTTGGGAGCTGCTCTGGTGAGTGGGCTCTTGATAAACTGCAGAGAAACTGTATTCCTGCCACAGATCAGTGACATTAATAGGTCTAAAAATGAGTGTTCCTGAGAAATAAGTGCTATTGTTCAAAATTGGATTTTTCCTGGAGCGTTAGAGAGCCATTCCTCCAGAGAGCCCACCCAACTTCTCCAACAATGCAGGGACACCTGCTCTCTTCTCCAGCTATTTCTGGGCCACCAAGGTATCACAGAATCAGAATAACCTGGGTTGGAAGGGTCCTTAAAGATCATCTAGTCTCATCCCCCTGCCATGGGCAGGGACACCTTCCACTAGACCAGGCTGCTCTGAGCACCATCTACCATCCTGGCTTTGAACACTTCCAGGAATGGGGCACTCATAATCTATTCCAGTGCCTCAACACCCCCACAGGGAACAATTTCTTCCTTACATTCAACCCAAATTTAGCCTCTTCCAATTTAAAACCATTATCCCTGGTCCTATCAGCATGTCCCAGCTGGTGTGCTGGGAGCTCTGGGAGCTCCTGCCTCCAAGCATGAGGGAGGTTGGCTTTGATGGAGGTTGGCTCCCTTCCCACTGCCCACCCCGGGCTGCCTGGGGCCTCCCCAGCTCCCAGGCAGTGCACAGTGTCCAGCCTTGCTGAAGGCTGCTACAGGGAAGAGAACTGGGGTGTGAGTCTGTGTGCCTGGGATGATCTAGTGCCCCCCTCAAGGCATCCCACCTGCCACCCTCCAGGGATGCATCCTGCAGAATCCCACCTGCCACCCTCCAGGGATGCATCCTCCTTAGTCTCTGCAGGTACCAGTGCATGGTTTTTCATGTAAGCAAGAGAACCTTTTTCAGAACACCTGATGCCTTCACTGAGGGCTTCAGAGTATAGATGCATTTATTTCTGTTTCACGGGTCCCAGGAATCATAAAGTACTTAAAATACAGCATCTTAAGAGGTGTCCTGCAACTTTTTCTTGTAATTACATGTAGTGAAAATTTCATCTGATGCCTTTTATGCTTCAGCTGAAGATAGAAATAAAGTACTTTTCTACTTCTGATAATAAGCAAATACTCATAATATGTTAACATGCAGATATAATAAAAGCAGAAACCCAAAATACCAGGCTTCCCTGTCTGGGAGCACTGAAAATACTGTTTCCTTAGGGGACAGAACTTTCTGGTTTACTTTGCAGTCAGCTAATCATAAAATGCGGTGATTTTTCTTGTAGGACAAGAAATATTTGGGAAGGGCCAGGAGTAGCAATTATGAAAACTGATCCCAAATGGTTTGTTGCTCTACAAGAGCATGCAAATACCTCTTGAGGAGGATGACTGAAATGGGGATGTGCCTCCTGTTTTCACTCCATTCACTGGGATGGATCCACACCCAGGAGCCCCAGGTAGGACACCTAGGCTGGGACCCTATCCCAAAGGGATCATACAAATACTGTGTTCTCTGATGGCTCCCAGGAACCTAATCTGGCAGTGGGATGGTGGGATTTGAACTCTGAGATTACACTGCCTATGCACTAGATGGTGGGCTCGATCCCCTTTTCCTCCTACCTCTCATACTGGGGACCAGATTGTAAGAGACAATGCCAAATTCAGACCTGGACCTGAGACTTGCACAAGCACAGTTCAGCACATTTTAAGTGGCAGAATGGTGATTTTCATTCAACATCCCCTTAAATTCTGGATCAGATTATATTGCTGCATTTTTTTTTACTAAATTCAAAGCAAGATCTTCCTTCAAAGCACCACATTTCAACACCTCTAGTATGGCACTTAATTCTAGTACATGTTCATTTAAAAATAGCATTTAGAAATGAGCTTCTAAATATTGATTCTTAAGATGAATTGGTCCCTCTTCCAAGTGGCACCAATCAGAAATCAGCAGCTGGTGAGGATCTTCCTGCTCTCACTGGGAGCTGATCAGGTGAACTTTCTCCTCTGTGCTTCCCAAGCAGCCACGCTGTCCCTCCTGCTCCAGTCCCCTCCACCAGCCACCTCTGCCGTGCGGTCTCGCACAGTGGGACGCTGCGGTGGCAGCAGCTCTGCTCAGCTGGGCTTCCAGGGTCGTGCCTGCCGTTCTCGTGGTGGGGACCTGGACTCAGCGGCAGTACTCCCGCTCGATGCTGGCCATGAGCTCCTCCTCTGAGTAATCATACAATATTGTGGACTGCCCCAATGGCTTCTTGTTGCTTTCTGGGCACCTATCACGGAAGGGAATAAATTATTGGTGTTATGAGACTGACTCAGGCTCTGAAGATACAAGAAGATCCTTGCTTTTTTTTTTTTTTTTTTGTGAATGGAAAGATTGAGCTGCATGTGGCTTGTTGAGACACAGATACTCTGTCATGTCTAGTTCCCATACCCCACTGGAACATTGCCTGCTGACATTTGCTATCACTTGGCACCAACTTAGTCTGTGAGTTCACCACGGTACAACCCTTAGAGTACTCCAGGATCAAGCTCCCAGAACCTTTTGAGTTAGGCTCCAGGCCCAACTAATGGACAGTGTAGTCTTTATACTACTTTTTAAGATTTTAGGCAAAAAGAGATTATTTTGTTCATATTTGTAAGGAATCTGAGTTTCAACCAAAATATGAATGCAGCTCCCTGAAACTGCTCTTACGGCTTTTGTTTTCACATCAGCACAGCCCTCCCATGAGTGAGAACTGATGTATGACTCAAAGGGAACTGGTATGGGGTTTATTGGTGTTATCAGAGGTGGTTTATGTTGGGTTCAAGAGAAATCTGTCCCTACCTGCACAAGGGAGAACAGTGACAAGTCTTCTGCAGGCTTTGACCACTGTACCTCATGCTACCAATTAAGCCTACTTGATCTTACCCTTCAGGACTCAAGAGAGGAGCCAGCAGCTGACAAGTGCCTCCTTGGCCTTGTAGAGATCTGGGAGGTGAGCAAGCTGGGCTGTCAGGTTTGGAACACATGGCTCCTTGGAATGGAGGTCATGGTGAGGTGCAGAGCTAAGTGGAGAATTGAGCTGGTAAATCCAAAGTGCTCTGCCATGCCATGTTAACCAAGACTCTCAAATCCAAAGTGCTTTGCCATGCCATGTTAACCAAGACTTTGTGACCATCCACTAGTGAAGAACAAGTAAGCAAAAAACAAATGCTTTGGTTTTGTGTGTCAGTTCATTGCCAAAGAGGAGAGATTTTCAAGGGTTCGTTGCCAAAGAGGTGATATCCACTAGCATGGCTCCAGATCTGTCCCAGACTCATTATCTATTGAATTCCTCTAAGGATGAGATCTATCCCAACCATTGCTCTTGCAGATGGAATGAATAGAATTCATCCATTAGCATCCTTTATTAAAAAAACCTGAGGACCTGTTTACTAGACAAAATCACAGAAACTGCCCCAAAGCAGGTATGTAAATGTAGAATCAGAACTGAAGAAAACAACCCTGAAATGCTTTTCTAAGGACACTTTGTCCTACAGGGGAGGTGCTTTCACACTGTTCTCCTTGGGCCAGGCAGCATCCTCAGGCTCCTGCCCAGCCCAGGTGCTCTGACTGAGCTGTGTTTGCCATGCCCATGTGTGTCAGAAATAGCCTGGTGTTTTTCCTGGAGTCACCTGATGGCCAGCTGATGACACTGGCTAGTGTAGGTATTCTACAGTTACTTACTCTGCACTTTGCCCTTGATGGCAAGTTCTACTAGCAGCAAGCAGGATTTAGCAACCAGACTCTTCTGCTCATTCCTTTTATTCATTTTCCTGCTGAGGGCTGCAAGGTATCTGATTTCCACTGCACTAGGTTAGAGCTGAGAAGAAAGCCACAGGTTCAAGAACTCGAACCATACAGCAGCATTTACAAGGCAATAATGGGAAAAGGAAGTGCAGAAATCTAAGTTAAAACACACAATTTACTGATTTAAAATCTACACTGTGACAATTCTTTAACTAATTTTATGTTACGTGATGAATTACAGGCAGAGCTCCTGGCAGCTTGCTTGCAGGCCCACAGAAGAGCCATTGTTTCTCTTAGCAGTTACATAATTTCCCACTGTTAATTATTCTCAATGCTTTGGTTTGCATGGAGAAAATCTCCAGGTAAAACTCGTTGAGACACAGATGTGCTTCGGAAAAAACAAAAGCAGACTCCACTTCCTATGCACATCCCAGAAATGAGAGGAAAAGAGAGGGCTGCATTTCTTTAAAGAGCAAAGGAAAAGCAAGTTGCTGTTCATTCTGTTTCTATATTTGTGGCAAAGTCCTGTATCATTTAATACAGGAAAACTGAAATAAAATTTAAAAATTAGAGCTTTAATCTGGATAAAAGGAGAAGCTTCTGCACCCTGAGCACAGCAAGCAGAGGAACAGGCTGTGTGGTTGCCCAGGCTCTATCCTTGGAGGCTTTCAACACCTGATGGGACAAAGCCTGGAGCGTTCTGCTCTGACTTCACAGTTGATCCAGCTTGGAGCTAGAACTAGGAGATTGGACTAGAGACCTCCTGAGGCCATCCCAACCTAAACCTCCATCTCAAAGGCACGTTGTTGCAGCTATTTCTGACGATCCTAGAATTCAGTGAACAGCTGTGGCAGGGAAATCCCAAGCTCAGGATGTGCATAGGACAACAGCTGGTGGACCACAGGCCTGTTCTGTGCTCCTCCAGCTGCTCCAGCAGCAGAAGAGGCATCTTGCTCCTCTTGTCACCACGTGCCAGGGCTGCAGAGCCTGGCTTCAAACACAGAGTCCATCTGAGGGCTGTTAGACCTTCCAGCCAGCAAAATAACAGGTCAGTACCTTGAGTGGAAAGATTTTCAAACCCCAGATGTTCTGGGGAAGGAGACAAACATGTGAAGGAGCAAAGCTGAGAGAGAGTTAGCTGAAAAGCATACAAAAGGGGAATTTGCAGTGTGATAGGACAGCAAGGAAAAGAAGGCTAGTGCAGCTTTATCAGGATTACCGGACAGGCTTCTGGGCGCCTCACTGCTAAAATGTTCTTAACAGCTTGGAGGGAGTTTAGAAAGCAGCAATAAAAGTGATTTAAGAGGCTGGTGCAAAACAATTAAGGAAAGAGGAAAGCAAGAAATGTGTTCCATTTCAGCTACAGGCTTCTTGATGTTCCCTTCTTAAGGGAAGCAGGAATTATGGATGCATTTTTTTGTGAAGACAATGAACTGTGCAAAGTGGAGAAGGAAATGCAAAGGACAAAATTAGACCAACAGCGAGCAAAACCACCTATGAGCAAGATCCCAGCCATGGGGATGGCTGTCAGTGCCATATCCCTGGTGTCAGGCAGGTGCCTGGTGTGGGGGAGAGCTGCCTGCGGGCTCCATGACAATGGCCCTGATGGGTGACTAGGGTGACAAGCTCTCAGGCAGAAACCTGAGTTAAAACTGGCTGAAAACTCAACTGGGGTGAATCTAGGCCAGTGTTTTTTATCATTTTGCTGAGGATGGGCAAGTCCAGGGTTAATCATTAAAATGCCTTCTGCAAGATCTAGCAGCTGAAAAATGGGTCAGAACAACGCCCTGGTAACTCTGCCAGTGACACCAGCCTTGGCAGCAATTATAAATCATTACTGTGTGCCTGGGCTGTGTCATCCACCCGTGAACTACCAGATGCTGGAGAGCAGTTCCCAAAAGATTTTGGGGGAGGGAGGATGAGAAGTAACACAGCCCAACCAGGAGCACATCCAAAGTATTTACCAAGGGCTGGTTCAGATGCTCGTGTGGTGTCACACAGGCATGTTCTAGGACAGGAGTGCATGCCCACCTCTATCTTGCATGACTGCTCTCTTGACAGACACTGTTAAGTCTCTGTACCTAGCTCTTCTCCTTCCTTGACATTTGCTTCTCCTTTAATTGGCTTTACGGGAATTTCTTCAGTCAGCAACTCTATCAAGACAAGGCTGACTTTTGTTTGTAAAGTGTTTACCTAGAATGATTCCAGCCACAGAAATGTGAAGGATGAGACACCTACACATGCACATTAACCTCTGTTTCCATGGCTTGATTTGATTCTATTTGATTCGATGTCTTCAAAAATTTGCTGGGTGCTGGGCCATTTACAAAAAAATGTTTGCATAGTTCCTGCCAGCAGAAATTACAATTCTGCTTATCTCAGGCAGTACAAACACTTCACACGTGAGCTATGGGACTCTTCAGTGGGTATAAAGTAAATGTTATCTAAATGGAAATAATCTCCTGCTCTGTCATCCCAGATCAGAAAACATTTTCTGCTGTCTCAAACCTTCCTCTTGCATGTCAAAGAGGGTGGGAGAAGGAAAGCCTTGGCAGAGTGTGATGAGCCAGTGGGTGCCTGGGACCAGGGAGCTGCTTAGGGGCCTGGCAGGGTTGGCTGTGCACCCCAGGAGGAGACTGCTCAGTTGCCATCATAGCCCAGGGCCCACTGAGGATGCTGGAAAGCACAGGAGAGGTTTGAGTCCCTGTGAGAGCACCTGTACAAGCCTTGCCACCAGAAAAGCCAAGGGCAAATGTGTTTTCCAAGCACTCTGGGAAGCAGCAGCCTTGCCAGGTGAGCTCCCTGCCAGCTGGGAGAGAGAGCAGGAGCAGGAGGGCGGACAGCAGCGGTGCCTGGGCTCTGCTGACACATCCAGCAGCGCTGCTGGGCGTTGGTAGGTCACACAGACCGTGACCAGGGTCTGCAGATTAGGCTGCTCTCGAGTGCTGCAGGAGCAGAGGGGCTGGATGAGAATCAGAATGAGAATTAATGCTGAAGAGAGTCACTCCTTAATGTAAGTAGGTGATATTTTAAGATGGTTTTTCAAGCCTGTTCATTTCACCTGTTTTTTTAGCATGTGTTAAACTGTCCCCATTCCTAGTACAGGCAGACTCAGAGGCTCACTCTGCTAGGCTGCTTTGGCTAATGGAAAATTTCAGATTTCTTTTGTTTGGCACCCAGAGCAGCAGGTCCCCACCCTGTTCCCAAGGGACACTCATGTCTCTAACTGGCACAGCATTGGAGCATCTGATGGGCTTTCTCTTATGATTCCTAGGGAGCAAAGAGACATTATTCTCCTTTTCCACATGCTGCAGAGCCCACAGGTGAATCAGGGCCTGAGCTCTTTGCTGGAGCAATTCTCCACAGCTTTGCACTAACTACTCCAAGGTGTGTCTCTGACATGTGGACATCCTAAATTCTGATTGCTCACTACCTCTATACTACACTTGAGATGGAGCCTGGATCTTTTCAAGCAGCACCTGATTTTTTTTTAATTTGAAAATAAGTAAAATGGCAGAACATTTAGGGCTATAAACCATTTAATATCATTCCCAGCTCCTTTGCACAGTGTGAGGAATGCAGAAATAGCATAAAGGTCCCTTTTCCACATGTGTTTTCCCCTTGAAGATACCATGAAAACATGGATACTCACTGCTGGTCAAGGTTGTTGTTCTCTGGGCCTGGTGGGCTTCTGGGTGACAAAGCCTAGGACAGAAGACAAGACAGTTACAACACTTTGAAGTCAAGGAAGGTGATTCTCCCCCTCTGCTCTGCTCATGTTAGACCCCACCTGCAGTGCTGTATCCAGGTCTGGCGTTCTCAGCACAGGAAGGACATGGACCTGTTGGAATGAGTCCAGAGGGGGACCATGAAAATGATCAGAGACATGGAGCACCTTTCCTGTGGGGCTGAGGTAGTTGGGGTTGGTCAGCCTGGAGAAGGGAAGGCTCTGGGGATACCTTATTACAACCTTTCAGTACTTAAAGGAAGTCTACAAGAAAGATGGAGAGAGGCTGTTTACAAGACCTGTAGTGACAGGACAAGGGGCAGCAGTTTTAAACTGCAAGGGCAGATTTAGATTAGATCAAGGATTTGAAATTAGCTGATCTTCAAAGTTCCCTTTCAACCCAAAGCAATATTTCTTTCTATGAAACATATCTCTGTCTACAGTGGGCAACCTGTCCTAGTTTAAACTCCCTGGTTTGGTTTAAACCCTCAAACAATACAGAAAGTGGAGACAATACAGGTACAAGAGACTCTCCCTTCCCAGCCCTGTTGTGCCAGCTCTGTTTCAGTACTCAGGCCAGCTGGGTGGCTGCTGCTACAGAACCAAACCCTGAACACTGACCTGTCAAACCTCCCATTTTCCATGAATGCCCACTGCGCCACCAGCTGCAGGTAACATATGAAAACACCTGCTAAGGGAGGAAGTCATAGCAACATCAACTCAATTTTCACCTGACAAAGATGTTTCCTGGAAAAATTATCCATCTGGGGTGAAACATCCATCTTCCCTATGCTGGAATCTTCAGGCTTTTAATGGGATACCTGGGGAGCACCCAAAGTGGAACCTAACAGTATTTAAAGTGGAGGCAGGGATGGCACCATCCATCCCCAGCTGGGCCAGTAATGAAATGAACCCTCTCTAGCCAAATACTACTGAGAATAATGCATCTCTCATGTTTTTCTACCTTTTCAGGGTATTCTCACAGGGAAAGGGAGTGGGACAGGGACTTTGTATCTTGGCTTATAATTAATTACCTTTTCTGAGGTGCAGTCCTGCAGCTGGTGGCCTCCGTCATACAAGGTACCCTGAATCTCACAACAACACTAACAAGTTCAACAAGTAGCACCAGCCAAGGCCTTCCAGAAAACAGAAATGAAAAGCTGTTCCATCAGTGTGGAAGAGGGGAAAGTATTTTCTGTACAAGAAAAAAGGGAAGTGTCTTAGTTTGAAACAGGAGGCAGGAGCCTCCCTTGGAATGGAAAATGTAAACACCTTCCCTCTGAATTATTATAATTTTGAAATGAAGGGGCTCTCAGGCAAAGATATGAGAATAAGAATAGCAGTTCTTTACTAGTGTGTATGACACAGCAAATAAACAAACGACAGCGAACACAAACCGGGCCCGGCCGCGGCCGCCGCGCTTTCCCTGCGGTGCAGTTCCGGGCACGGCCGGCAGGGGCGCTGCGGCACCCGGCGGGCGGGACAGGGGCGGTGCCGCCCCGCGCCTGCAGGGGGCGCTGTGGCTAACGGCGGCTGGGCCCCGACGGGAGGGATGGAAGGGATGGAAGGGATGGAGGGATGGGAGGGATGGGAGGGATGGGAGGGATGGGAATGATGGAAAGGATGGGAGGGATGGAAGGGATGGGAGTGATGGAAGGGATGGAGGGATGGAAGGGATGGCAGGGATGGAAGGGCTGGAAGGGATGGGAGTGATGGAAGGGATGGAAGGGCTGGAAGGGATGGAGGGATGGAAGGGATGGAAGGGATGGAAGGGATGGAAGGGATGGGAGGGATGGGAGGGATGGAAGGGATGGGAGTGATGGAAGGGATGGGAGCGATGGAAGGGATGGAGGGATGGGAGCGATGGAAGGGATGGGAGTGATGGAAGGGATGGGAGTGATGGAAGGGATGGGAGGGATGGGAGGGATGGGAGCGATGGGAGCGATGGGAGCGATGGGAGCGATGGGAGCGATGGGAGGGATGGAAGGGATGGGAGGGATGGGAGCGATGGGAGGGATGGAAGGGATGGAAGGATGGAAGGGATGGAGGGATGGGAGGGATGGAAGGGATGGAGGGATGGAAGGGATGGGAGCGATGGAAGGGATGGAGGAATGGCAGGGATGGAAAGGATGGAGGGATGGGAGCGATGGAGGGAGGGATGGAAGGGATGGGAGGGATGGGAGGGATGGGAGGGATGGGAGGGAGGGTTTGCTTCACCAGCCCGGGGACAGCCGATCCCGGTGCCCAGCAGGACTCTGGGAATCAGCACGCTGGGCCCGCAGGACTCATTGGCAGGCAGGGGCTGCGAGGCTACAGCGCAGCGAAAGCTCGGAGCGGTGCAGAAGAGGCAGTGGTGCAGGGCAGTGGCCCGGCTCCCAGCAGGGCAGGGAGAGCCAAGCTCAGGATCCCGGCACCCGAGCAGACGGGGATGGGCCCTCTTTCAGTGAGGCAGGTCTTAACAAGGTCCCAGTTCAGTGGCTGCTCTCATGAGCAGAGGCTCATCCCATCCAAAGCCAAGAGAGAGAGAGAGAGAGAGCGCAAAAGGACAGAAACCTAACCACCAACAGGAGGCAAAGGATCCTGGGGGAGGTGTGGAAAAGCTTAGAATGCAGAGTCATTTTCTGTTCCTCTGCTGTGTTTCTGCAGGGCTGGATGGGATCAAGTGATTCCTCAGTAGGATCACGTATATGCTCTTAGAATAGCTCAAACCTGTGCTGCCTCAAGGTCGTGCATGGGACCGGTGCTGGAAAGTGTGGCAGCAATGGAGGGGCAATGCCTCACTATAGGCACTGCTGCCTACAACAGTGATGGCTTCACACAGTTTTGTGCCAATTAAAACCTGTTGGTATTGGTCAGGCTTCTATGTGCCATCCACTAGGTAGAAATGTCTACCTGGGCGTCATATTGCATGACACCTGATTTTAATTTGCAACGATATTTTTTCACTACAGTCCTTCCTCAGCTGCTTCTCATGGGGAATGGACAGGAGTTAAAGTTTAAACACTGCAAGGCAGACAGAGAGGTGCTTGGCAGTGAACTGCTGAGTTCTTCCCTGCCTCTTGCAAGGGCTTTGTGCTGCTGTGGTCACCTTTGGCTCCCATGCTTCAGCAACTGAAGAGAGCTGCAGCAAGGACACCTCTCTCATGGCTCTGGGTGAACATCTCTTCCAGGTGAGCCCTTAGTAGCTTCCATTTCAGGAGCTGGGAAAGGTATCTGTTATACACTGTATTTCACATCCTGGCTTCCAGCTTAAAATGACAAAAGATGCTGCCAGTCTTTCATAGAGTTTTAGTGTAATACCTGTCAAAAGGCATTCCACATCCTTTCAGAACAGCCCCTGCTCTTTGTCAACACTGTTTTCTCTGGAAGAGGCTGAACTAGTCTAGAAAGAGCTTCTGGGTCCAAGCAGAGACAAGGGTATGTGAGAAAGCTGACAATGAGGGAAGACAGTTCTCTCCTGGTTATTTACAATTGTTTCTTGGCAATCTCCCACATGTAACAAGAGCAAGAAGCAGTGCCAGGAGAACAGCATGCTGAGCTCCAATGGCTGACTTCTCCTGGGATTGTATCCCACAATGCAGCTCCTCATCCATCATCCACTGGACTACTGTTGGAGCCTGAGTTTCCTTCCACCAGGTGAAGAACATTATTCATCCTCAGCACCTCGGGAAATAAGAGTTCTTCAGGCGTGCTTTGATGATATTTTTCGTGAGAACCCAGCTTCCAATACTTCTGTGCAAAGGATGGGTTTGGATAATTTTAGAGAGGCGTTTGGATTGTACAGGAGGTTGTCTGTTTTTTCTTCTTGTGGCTGACTCCTCCATATTACGAGCTGTACGTGTTGTGTGGGTGGAAGACAGAATTAATTCGTCATCAGGATAGTGCAGCTCTGGTTAGCAGAATCTGCTTCTCTGTGCAAAACCTGCTCCCACCTTTTCCAAGGGATCTGTCAGCAGCAGTACTTATTTCCCAAGAGAATTTGGATCTGGCACATGTAGATTTCTACCAACATTTCATCCAGTGCATGACTCAAAAACGGTGGCAAGTAAAAACAAAAGGCCTTTTCCCTGCCATGAGAGTCTCCATGGGTTTGGGAGCTGCTCCCCATTCCTGCGGGCAAGGGACACTGGCTCGGCGGCGCCCGGGTGACACCGTGTGCCGAGCAGCAGGCAGGGCACAGAGCACCGCCTGCCGTGGGCTGAGACACAATAAAACTGACCCCACCCAGCCGGCTGGGGATTGCTGTAATGGGTATCTTGCAAGTTCAGCAGATAATTAGTGTTAGCCCTTTATGTGGGTTAGGATGATGTGCGTGTCAGGACACTTTAATATTATGGGTTCCTATCCTACAGCTAAATAAGTAATTGCTGGCCTGGTTGGCCTGTGTCCTGGTAAGAGTTAAATGAAGTCAGCTTGTCCTTTCTGCAGCTCGCAGTCATCTTTTTATTACTCATCTAGACCGTGGCGTGTCATCTTGTTTTACACCCCATTCTCAGCACAGGCATCCTGTGCTGACATCTGCTGTGCCACAAAACCCCACATCACCCCCTCCTTCAAGTTAAAGGCTTGGATATTAAGCTCACCCAGTATGTATCCACATTTAATTTAATGTCATTTCATGTGGGGTGGAATGGTTTGACAGTCATTGCTCACACAGTTCAGCCATCCTTTAGGGCAGCAGCTCCTGGGAGCATGGCAGAGCTGAGAGCTGGAAGCAAGAGCTATTTTTCTCTGCTGCACACAAAAACCAGCATTCCCGGGGTGCAGCTTCCCACTCACCCTAATCCAGCCCAAGTTCCTTGTGGCCCTGCCATGAGGGCCTAGCCCTTAACCCCCTACTTTCTCTGTTAGCTCCAGCAGCTGTGAATAAGCTGGGTAAGAATACCCTTTCCTGGAACCTTCCACAGGGTGATCTGGAGCCATGTACCTTTGGAAGCTCTAGAACTGCTCCCAAGCTGCACTGAAACCAACCAGCTACAGTCTTGACTAACATTGTCTCCAAAACTCAGAGGCCAAATTCAAGCCCTCTTTGAGATGGTCCCTGCGCTGGTCCCCCTAAGCAATGCCCAGGCATTATTTGGGAGACTACAAGCTGGTCCTAACCAAAAATCATGCCAGCTCAGTGGGGCAGACCATCAAGGTCCAGCACCGGGCAGCTGCTATGGTACATTTACCAGTATGTTTACAGCTCCGAGATGCAGCAGAAATACAGACTCTGAGTGCAGTTCAGGTGCAACTCACGTCCAAGGAGTGACTGAGCCACGTGAAGTATCTACACAGGAGCAGTGTGGTGTCTGCCAGTGCTGCTCCACTGGCTGTGCTTTAATAGTGCAGAGTTTCAGAAACATGTATGCCAGTGCTTCTTTCCCTGCCTCTGCTGCTCCCAAATCCCTCTTCACAAACGCGCCGTGAGCTGGAGCAGCGGGTCAGTCTGAGCTGAAATGCAGCCTGTGGCAGGGAGGGAGGGCACGGCTGGAGAGCCCTGCCACGGCAGGGCAGCACCCTCCAGCAGTGCCAGCAGCGCTGGGGCTGGGACAGGCAGCACTGCTGCCGTCAAGCCTCTCCAACCTGCAGAGTTATTGCTGGCTAAAAAAAGTCGCTTCCCTAGGGTGCCAGTAGGTACCAAATGTGACACACGGCCCCAGCCCCCAGCTGTACCCCAGGCAAAGCACTTCCAGCTTTGCCTTGGTCTGCAGCAACATCCTCTGGCCAGTGAAGGAATTAGGAGCAGGCGGTGGACGGGAAGTGGGCAGGGATGCAAGGAATTCCCACGCTTCTCCTCTCCTGCCAACTAAAACAGCAGCTCCCAGCTATTCTGTACATGCCCTGGGCTTACTTTTTAGATCACGCATAGTTTCCAGGGCAAAAGCCACCCATGCTCTGCCATGTGAAAAGGGGGAGTTGTGGAAAATACCTAGTCAGCAGTTTTCCAAGTCCAGGTGCAACACAGCTGTGCTGGGAGGGTGATGCTGACTGAGGGGACAGCCCAGCTCACTGCTTCTGGGCTCTGCTAAAGTTTCAGGGGCTTTGAACAAGACAAGAAATAGAATGGCATAGAGAGGGAGACCTTTAACTCAGCAACTGCCAGATCTACAACTGGACATTAACTGCAGAATCTGAAATAATCTGACTTTGGAAAGTTCAGGGAGTCCCAGATATTAAGATGGAAATGACATTTTCTAAAGGCCCCATGCTCCCTATGAAAGTGTAGCACAGTGTCTTGATTCAAGGGCATTTTTGACTATTAAGACAACCAGGAAGAAAATGTTGAAATAAACTGCTAACAACGTGGAATTAGAAAGATGAAATTTCTGTTTGAGGGAAGTACATTTTAACAAGAGTAAAAAAATAAACCTGAGTTCCTGTAAGAAGATAACGGGACATGGCATTTAATGTTCCTTCAGGACCCTTTCGTGTTTGCAGCTGGGGATCAGCCAGCCACGAGGTGACGCTGTACCACATCAGTCTGCAGAAAAAACATCTGGCTGAAAAAATCAGGCAAAGGTTTGAACACTCGAGTGTTTTAAAATTATATGATAATCCCTCTAGAAGTTGGTGAATACACCCTCTACCTGTGTTACTCCTGTGCTGCAGCTGGGATGATTTGCTTCATGGAATCACATTCTGTCTCCAGTCAGGAGGAATGATGATGCCATGGAAAAAGCTGTTAAAACCGTAGCCCTAGCATGTCTGTATTATTCCTCATTTCAGGGAACCAATGGGGAAATGCATGGTGCCACGGCCTCTGCCCTGGCTTCCACCAAGAACTGCCACACCTGCTCTGTGCTGCAGCAGCACCTGCAAAACCTCAACTACATTTTTTCTGTCTTGAGCAAAGAAACAAGGAAAAGCTCATACAGCCATCTGGAATTGACAGCAAAGCTGAAAATGGATGTTTGATGCTGACAAAAGGTATTGGGGTCTGCTCTGAGGCCTGTGCAGGTTTCCCATCAGGATTTGGCTCCCAGCCTGCTGCTGCGATATGCTTTCATCCTTTTTCCTCCCAAGCATTATTTGAATATAATAAAGATGGCTCAAGCCTTTAAAGGCAGCTGCATGTCTCTCCACTAGCCCTTGTCACCTGGCCTGACTGCCCATCAGTGTTCCCAGCTTGCTGCTGGATGTTAAATTGTGCCAGGGTTCAGCTGTTAAACACAACACTGATATACATCATGCCCAGGAGAAACCCAGCTGGGACAGCAGAATGATGAGTCCTGTTTGCAATTCTGCTCTCTTCTGACTGGTGTCAAAGGTCTCTTCTACTCCCACGGGCCAGAATCTGCTCCTCCAGAGGCTATTTCTCATCAGACTTTCTTACTGTGATACCTCTTTGTTGCCTTTCCTCTTCCTGCCTTACCTTTCCCCCATTAACTCTGTTGAATTAGCTCATCCTTTCTTCTCTGAAATTTCTTTGCTTATCCTCCAATTTGGACAACTGAACAGGGCAAAATAAGCAAGTTCCTACCACAAGACAGAAACTACAAATGACTCAAAAAGCTGTCAAGAATGAGAGAAATTGCCATAAAATTACTAGCGATGCAATGAAGCTGATGGCCCTTTTCAGAAACCTCCTCCCCTAACCTCCTGGGAAGGGTGGGACTGCAGTTTGCACAACAACCTAAAACTGCACTCAGTAAACAACCAAAACCTGGTGCTGCAAAGTTTCCTCCCTCCTTTTCACAGGCTAGTGACTTTTTAGGCCATCTCAGGTTCAGGAAAATAAAGTGCTACCAAGAAAAGCTTCAAGTCTGCCCTGAAACTACCTCAGACTTGTACGTCTGTTGTATCTTTGAAAAATACTGGTAAGTTCTTTGCTGTCTTTGTCTGGATGCAACCAGAGGTGTGAGCTTCCTCCTAAAAAAGAGGCAGCAGCAACAGCTGGATGAGGACACATACAAGATGCTCAGCATCACTGCTGCCTCACTGGTGGCCCTGCTGTGTGCTGCAGACCCTTGGCTTCTCTGGATGACCAAGGCCCCACATGCCTGCTCCAGGCTGAATTTTGAGAACCCTCATGGACATCTCTGTGTTGCAAAGCTTGGTAGCATTCCCATCCTTGGTCTGCACCACAACCTGGGGTGGTTGAGGTGATGCTACAGGTTCCTAAATAATTTCTGCCAGAGAGGGAAGTCTGAAGCAGGGACTGGGGCATAGTGACCCTCACACTACCCCAAGGGCCACATCTTAAATTCTTCAGCCTCTATAGTTTGCTCCTTGTCATTAGTTCACTGGTATCTACTGTCGTAGTGGACTGTCTCTATTGGTGCTAGAAAAGAAAGATGAGGGCAGTTCCATTGCCTTTTTGATATGTTATTATCCAGAATATACACCACTTCAGAATAGGGCTAAGATACTGATTTATGCATGGGAAAACTCACAGCTTATTAGAATTATTAAAGATACAGCCATTATATTCACATGTGGAAAAAGAGGGAAAATTAATACCAGCAGCCTCTATTCCCATAAGTAAAGACAAATGGGAGAAGTCAGGAGGATTACTCCTAAATGAGAGGCCCTCAGAAGAGAAAGTAGTGCTGCAGTAAGCTCCATTCATTCTGCAGGAGGGTTTGGAGTTTAAAGAGCAAGGAAAAAAATATGTCAGTACAAGATATCTGGTTTTTAAAATTCAATTTCCAAACCTTACTTTGAGGTTTTTCTTTAAAACCTGTCTAAATAAAGGGTTCTCATACAGAACCCTGCCAAGTTTCCTAATGGAAAATTTAGTTTGTATTAAAGTAATCCTCAACCCACGGATGTGCAGTTCGGTGATGGAATTTATACCCTTCTAAAGAGCAAAACTGAGGCATGCAATGCAGAATGTTCCTGGGTCCTAAATATTTCTTTCAATTTTTGAATTTATTACTTTATTTTGACAACTTTCGTCTATCTGTGGAGAGCAGTGTTTATCTAACAAAAACCACACAGCTTCCAAAGCCAAGCTAAGATGAAAGATGTCGGTGATTTTCGACCTCATCACTAGCTGATATATATGCTGCTGTTATTCTTGGATTGGAAAAAAAAGCCCAAAAGATAAATCTCAACTCCCTCGGAAGCAAATCCATTATTTGTTAAAGAGACTGAAATGTGTCTTTAGGAAGAGCCAGACTGCAGTTGCAGCGGACTGGCAAACATTAAAGGGCAGCTTTATGTTCACATTTTAAACCTTCTATTTACAAGTCCGACGCAGGAAAAAGCAGGAACCGAACTGTAAGAAGTCGACGTATTTCAAAAAGTCAGGAAAAGAAACTTCCAGTAGCACCGGGAGACCGAAAAACGGGATGGCCCCTCTCGGGACCGTGTTTCCCTTGCACCGGAGACTGAAAAGGCGAAGAGAGCAGCAAAGAGAGAACGCGAGGAGAGCAGCAAAGAGAAAACGCGAAGAGAGCATCGAGCCTGGCTCGCAGCGGAGATGAGAAGACTTGAACGCCGCAGACGCTCGGAGGACGCCGCGGCCGCGGCGGGGCTGCCGGGGCGGCGGGACAGCCGGGCTGGGCTGCGCTGGGCCCGGGGCCGCCGCGGGGAGGGCCGGGGGTCGCTCGGGGTCCCGTCCGGGGTCCCGCTCGGGGTCCCGCGGGGCCGGCGGGCACTTACCGCCTGCTGCAGCGGGGCCCCGCCGCCTCCCGCGCCGCTCCCGCCCGCCCGGGGCTCGGCGCTGCCGCCGGCGGCCGCGGCTCGGCGGCCGGGCCCGGGCGGTGCCGCCGCCCCGCCGCCGTCCGGCGCGGAGCCCGGCGGGCCCCGGCTCTGCCCCGCTCTGCCCGCGGGGCCCCGCCGCCGGCTGCTGCCGCTGCCCATGGCCCGAGCCGCGGGCAGCGCCCCGGGCCGCCGCCTCTCCCGGCCGGGGCGGGAGCGGCGCTCGGCGGTCCGGGAGCCTTTCGGGGGGAGAATCCCAGCCCGAGCGCCCGGGGCCGGGGGAGGGAGCCGGGAGCCTTTCGGGGGGAGAATCCCAGCCCGAGCGCNTCCCAGCCCGAGCGCCCGGGGCCGGGGGAGGGAGCCGGGAGCCTTTCGGGGGGAGAATCCCAGCCCGAGCGCCCGGGGCCGGGGGAGGGAGCCGGCGGCGCAGGGGAGGGGTGCGCGGCCGTCTCTGATCGCGGTTTTGGGCAGGCTGCCGCGCTCCCCTGTCCCTTCCAAAACTTTCCAGCCCAGCCCGTTAGCTCGGGCCTCCCAAGCTGCAGATCTTTACACGCATCTCCCCGAGCTGCGGGGAGGACATTGTCCTCTTCGGGGACCATGCAGCAGGAGCAGCACTCCCGGGCTGCTACACTTAAGCCCGGGTCCCGCAGCCCTGTGCAGAACAGCCCAGCCCGGGGGAAGCCCCGCGGGGCGGGTTTGCGGCACCGAGCGCGGTTCTGCCCTTATTCCCGGAGTTACAGGGAACTCCCGGCAAAGGATGCCCACAGACGGAGTCACTGCTTCCCGACAGCCCGTCAAGCCTGTGCAGCTGATCCCTCAGCCATCCTCGGCTGCTCTTTGCTTCCAGCAGTGCACTATTTGCACATTGTTCGACAGTGGAAGATTATAGATATTAAAGGCAAGGCTGTCATTCCCTCCAGGGGAGTACAGTGGCTGCTTGGTGTCCAGCCCGCTCTGCCTCCCTTCTTCCAAACCAGAGGCTGATAAAAGCAGGAGGCACAGAGGTGTCATTCCTCTTGCTGCTCCATGGCACTGACTGCAATGATTGCATTTACCAGTCGTTGATTCTGCTGGTTCTTCCTAAACCACTGAGCTAAAGCCCAAGAGTTTGTAATAGAGGGGCTGGAGGAAAGAAGGCAACGAGATGTCAGATCATTGCCAGAAAGATGAGTTCATAGCTGTGGGGACTTATAAGAAAGATGGGGACAGACTTTCTACTACAGCATGTATCGATACGACAAGGAGTAAGATTTTAAACTAAAAGAGGGCAGATGTAGACCAGATGTAAGGAAGAGATTTTGTTACAAAGAGGGTGGTGAAACACTGGCACAGGTTGCCCAGGGAGGTGGTAGATGCCCCATCCCTAGAAACACTTAAGGTTAGCGTGACAGGGCTCTGAGAGACTGGGTGTAGTGGAATGGCAGGGGGTTGAACTAGATGAACTCCATGGGTTCCTTCCCACACAAACTGACTGAGAAAGATGTTCTGTCAGAAGAGTAGATCATCTGGGAGTGTGGGGGTGTGGTGTCACATGCAGAGCCCTGGGTCCAGAGCCAGGCCAGTCACAAAGTTGCTTTGGATCTAAGGCAGGTCTTGGAGAAAGTAGAAATTATGGGTTGCTGAGGAGGAGATGTTGGAGCTGAATATGGGATTAAATAGCCCCAAACAAAATGTCCCAAGGGAACAGGCTCTGCAAGCATCAGAGACAAAAATTCTTCTCAACAAGAAGTGAGCAAATTCCTCCTACTCCCCCATTCCTGCTGGCTGTCTCTGAGGGAGTGGAGCCTCCTGGAAAGTTTCCTGGCTGCCCCCATGGAAACAGTTCATTCCAGGACAGTTCCCCAGATTCACTTGGAAGCAATGCTGGCTCCATAAACCAGCTGTCAAAATGAGCCAAATATCTTGTGTTTTGAAGCAGATCATTGCTGGAGCCAGGAAAGTGTTTGAGCAGCAGTGATCTCAAATGCTGCTGTGGTTTAGTAGTGACACTGAAGGACTTTGAGGCCATTCAGTGATATTTCCTTGCCCCTAAAGGACTGGTGAGAATTAAACAGAATATTTCCCAAAAGCTAAAGGCCTAATAAGCATATGACTCCTCAGAAAAATTAATTAAAATTGGCAGATTTCTTTTTATGATGGCCTGGTGCCTTTTAAGACCATTTCCCAGCAGGGACAGTGGACAGTATCTTGGCTGATCTTCAAGAGCAAAGGTGGAAGTGTGTAGTAGAAGTGCCAAATGTGGCATATGGATCAATTTTGCATGGCACCCAGCCAGACCAGCAAGGAGCCAGAATCCTTCATATCAAAAGCACAGTGTTGAGGGAGCCAGCAGTGCTGGTTCCTGCTTCTCCCAAATCCTGTGGGAGTCTAGGAGCTCTTCCAGACAATGATGCTTGAGTTACATGGTAGATGACCTCTTCTGACTCCTGCTGTGCTGGCACTCTCAGCCTCTGCTTTGGAAAAGCAAAGGATGTATGCTATGGATGCCCACTGTTAGCACTCTTCAATCATGCCTTCTAATAAAAGATTTAATTATAGAGAGATAAATGCTTATACACACACATTTATACTTGTACATATTTACATCCGAGTCTTTCTAAACCATCACATTTATTTGAGGAATGTGGGATTATTTTAAGATTACCATTATACATTGAAGCCACAAGTATTTATTTGTCCTGCTATAGAATTCAACTGGACTTTTATGAGCAAAGGCCAAAGCGGAGTTGAGGCATGCAATTGCCTGGACAAAATGTGCTTTCAGATCTTATTTTCACATTGCTCAGTCCCCAGGTATGAGACTAAACTGTACTGTTAACTCATACCTGACTCTACCTCATGCCATGTCTCATCCTATCCCCAGACTACAGGCAGGAGTGTCACTCCTCTCTCCTGACAGTCTTCCATCTGTGAAGGGAAAGAATATGTGAAAAATTGCAGCCAGCTCCAGCAACATTTTTTGTTGCCTGCCCTCTCCCCAGTCCATGGTTGCTGCAGAATGATCTCAGAGACCCTATCCTACACCTCACTTTAACCTCAAAGAGAGACCCTCTAGTTCAGACTGGTTCTTTGTTAAAGCCAAGTAATTGTTGTTGTTCTGTGATGCAGAGCCTGAGCTTTTTGCTTCCTCAGGTCTTTGGTCTCTTGTCTTCAGCTCTTGGAGCAAGCCTCTGGCCACAGGACAGATCTCCATGGTTGTAGGAAACCCAGCTCGGCCCAACTTGCACTCAGCAGTGTTGGTGCCAGGCAGAGGTGGGAAAATGGAAGAACATACCCTTGCCCCACAGACAGGTTCCCCTGGCAAGGAAAACACCCTGAGAAGATCCCAGCACCAGCGTTTGGGAGGGGTGTTGTGCTGGGCTGTGTTGGTGCTCACCCTGGTGAGGTGTGATGGGCACTTGCAGCACTACCAGGAGTTATGATGGGAGCAGCAGAGAGCCAAACACAAGGAGTTTTCTTGCTGGGTAAAATAACAGGCTCCTTCCAATACAATAATCAAAACAGAACCTGGGGAGCTGGGTTTTTCCAGGTTTTTTTTTCCCACTAGAAATTTTCTAAGCTATTTGCAGTTAGCTCACTGAAGGAGCTGATCTTGTAACAATACATATCACAGCACATATGCTTAGATTTAGTTTTCTTTCCTAATATTTGCTGTGCTTTCAGCAAGGCTTCAAAAAAGATAGATGCAGTCTCTTGTCATAACAGTTCTGGAAAACTGTGAGGGTTTCTTTGTGGTCACCTGTATTAACCACAAAAATGATTGAAATTCAAAGTTAATTACACAATGTCAGATTGGATCTCTCCCTCTTGCTTGCTGACTGAAAGCGTGATCCCTCCCATGCTTCCCAGGCATCCTTCACAGGATATCCACTTCCCTGGAATGTAGCATGGGGAGATGCTGCCTCTTCCTGGCTGTCCTCCACTATGGCATGGATGCTGGTTGACCACTGCCAGGACCTGGACACTCCTGCCCTGCACCGTGAGGACACCATGGCACATTTGGAGAGAGCCTGGAGTCTTGGTACAGATTTTCACTGTGGATTTGTTAGAAGAAGCCCATTAAATGTCCATCAGAAGGTTGTTTAGATTTCAAACTAGCTTAGATAGCTTTTGCCATGCTCTGAGAAGAAAACAGTAATATTTAGTCCATATGGAACAAGCAGGAAAACCTTAATTTCCCCACTGCAAATTGCTGGATTTGTGTTACCCTTCAGTGAACAAGTTTATATATTAATCTGTCTTTCTAACATTAACTTGTGTGTAGCAAAGGCAATGTGTACCTTGCTCAAAGTAGAGCCAGCATCCATCTCTTAGCTTCCCAAATGTTTACCCAGATAACATCTTCACTTGGGTTTTTCTACAGTTGTGACCCAAAACCTTCTGAAAAAATTATTTCTAATTTTGACAACATTTCAGGTATTTGCTTTGATGCAAAGACTTTATATCTGTTGGGTCTATGCCATGTCCCCAGCTGATGTGCTGTGAAATTCAGTGGATGGAAAAAGCTGGACCTGACAAAGAGCACAGAGCCAGTGTTGTCTACCTCGGGACCCAAATGGGGAGTGGGAGGAGGAAATTTGCTTTTCCCCCAGAAGTTCCCCAGAGAAAAATAACTGCAAGAGAGAGGCCATTGAGATGCAGAGAAGAAAGGTCCAAGAGGCTGAGTTGGAAGGTGAGGGCTAGGAGTTAATGTTCCTAAACCTGTTTAATCTCTGCTCCTCCTCAAGGTGCTCCCTCACACTGCACATAACTTTCTCTGTTGAGATGAGCTGGAAAAGTGGGTGCTTTCCAGCAGGGAAACCAATTCCCTGACTGAAGAGCTATCCTTCAGCAACTTTGAGCCAGGATGCAGCAGGGAAGCCACAGCTGGAGGAGGGAGGGAGGTTGGCCCTGTGTAATTAATGGAGCTGGGCTGCTGCCCAGGGCTGGAGTTTGACTCATCTAATTCACAAAAAACCTGCTGAGAACAGATGTTTAAATATAAAAGCATATTTTTTAGGAGTGT